TTCGGAAAACGCTTGTCAAAAATACTTTTTTCAAATCCTTTTCCCAAAAAACGCTCAGATTCTCAGATTGTGAAACTCAAAAATCCGGATTTGGATTTGCTCCGAAGAATCCACTCAGAGTTTGGATTTTATGGATTCATGATCCGTTTTTGGATTTGCCCCCAAAAACTCAAAATCCGTTTTTGGATTCGGAAATCCGGATTTGGATTTTCCCCAAAAAAACGCACTCAAACTCACTCCTCTTTAGCAAAAGGAATTCCATCGAACCTCTCCTAACCTCCTAACTTTAACCATATTCAAACCGGGCCGAAGCTGGACATCTTGCTTACTGAAGTATTTTTCCTAATTGGTTATAACCTCATTGGCTAACAATGTTTGATGCTGTATTTCATTGGCTCTTGGACTGTCAGATTTGAGCTGTCCGATTGCCGGAGCTTCTTATCGGAGAAGTCAAATTGAACAGTTTTTGGCGCTACATCAGCCAAATTAAGCAAAAAATAAGAAGCAATCAAATCCGAGAATATTGTTATTGTCACAATTAAAAATATAAATAAAACATCTGACTAGAAAAACGAAAATTTTGAAAAATAGGGCTGTCAAAGTTGAGTTGCCATAGTAAAGTTAAGTTGATTGGTCATAATTTTAACGGTTTTGCCTAAATGAGGTTAAGAGATGATAGATTGCCGTGTTAAACCTTTCCTGAATTGTATGTCATCAGTAACCTGCTTTGGCTAAACCTTGTCTCGTGTTTGTGCTATAGTGTGTGCAAAATTATTTACGCTTTCAAAGACTTAAAAAAAGTAAATGACTTAATTCTTATCATGGAACATGCATAGTAAAACTTTTGTTGTTATCCCGAGAAACTCACAGACGTTGTTCTATCAGCAAAATAAAGACCTTTATAGAAACCCCTCCGTGAAAAAAATTATCCTCACCTATAAGTTGACACCTTTTCGTCTAAGAGCGCGCGTAACTTTGAATTCGTACATTTAGCTTTCGTTAGCGCACCCAGATATTAGATCAGGAATTGACCAATCACCATATTTTCTCTAGGCCTTAAGAGGTGATCTACACAGAGCTTCGGCCAGTGGAGATTACGATACTGTAAAAATGCTATTGGAGTATGGTGAATGTGTGGACCAAAAGATCAGGTTTAGTGTGCCTTTCTGTGATATAATTGTAGGATGTGATGGTAGCGGTTTATTTTTATTCTTATTTTTATCTTAAGCTACGTTTGATGACTGCTATGCATGTTATAACCATTGACCATATTAGGGCTATTGTAAACTCTCGTAGGGCTAATTTGGACCCATAGACTGAAATGAGTCCCAGAGTGGGTTGCAATACTAAAGCATTTAATAGAGCTGTTGTAGGTTTTTTGCTTATATTTATTTAAGAGAGGCTGAATCTGACAGACTTTAGTCTGCAGAGCTTAATTGGCACTTTGGGCTGAAACAAATTGGAGGGAGTGGTGACGGTGGAACTGTTGATTGACCCATCTAAAGCTTGCCATGTGACATACATTTCATTTCCTATAATTATTATTTTCTTTTTATTATTGGCCGAGACGTAACGTTTAAAGCCAAGATTTATTTCGGAGGAAATAAACGGTGATCAAACTCTGTGTCCTTGTTTTTATGCTGGCTTTAGTTTTCTCTGACTCCTCTTCACCTTGCCTGCTGGTATGGACGGGAATCTGTTGTGCGGCTATTGCTAGAGCATGGTGCGAACGTCAACGCCGTTGACAGAGTAAGTTGATAACAAAGGCAAATAAGTTGTAGTTTCCTTAGCTCGTAACTATTTTTTTTATTTTATACCTCTGAATCTAAGAAGAGCGCATGAATTGCCTGCATTTTGTAGCAAACACAAGAATTTTATTTAAACCCATCAACAGAGTTTTGAAAATAATGTATGTGTATACGTATGTTTCGAGTGAAGAACAAGAAACGAAGCATCTTTCGACTCCGACTGGCTAGATTTTAACGCGTTGTATTGGTTCACCTTGATTTTGAATCCAAGCAAACATTTCTCCTTCGCATGAGTCAGTCTTCTTAAATAATTAAAAAAAGACACACCAAAGCATTGGGGCTACAAATAAACAATGCAGTCTTCTAGAACTAAAGGTGGCTTGTTTATTTTTTCATTGAAAACAATTTGTGAATCGTAAACATTTGTCCTCTTTAACTTTTAATAATGTCTGTGCTTCTAGTTTCAACGAACGCCCTTTCAGAAGGCTGAACGTCAAAGCCATCAAAATATAAAATTGCTGTTACTGGAGACAAATGCAAGTCGAAGGGGTAAACAACCGGTATGAAGTATATACCTCTTCATTTGACTTTTCGTTTATCTTTTACTTTTTACCGTTTATTTGTTTGTTTATTCCGGCTTTCCCCATAACCCTCACCCGGAGGAGTTAAACCCAAATAAGCAGCGTCTCTAAGATAGTGCACTTATTCTTGTTATAGACCTCTACGTAGTAAACACTATATATTTCTATTTTTTATATGTTTCGCAAGCCTCTACAACGTTTGGGGTCCACAAACGTTGTGATAGTGATCTTGTCCTTTCTTTCTTGGTTATTGTTATTATTATTATATTAATAATAATAATAATAATAATTATTATTATTATTATTATTATTATTATTATCATTATTATTATTATTACCTCTTTACTTCTCCTCCCCACCATCTCATACATTGTAGTGTCTATCCCCCGTGATAATCTCTAAGGGCAACTATGGTGATGTTGTGTTGTTTCACTTTGTGCAGAGGGAACTGCTGTTTTAATTCCCAGCACAGGGAAGCATACTTCACGGTCTTCTCCTCGTTCTTTGTCTCTCTGTCGTTGACCCACGGTCAACTCATTTCGAATGTAATGACCTGCTTGCTGTAGTGATTGACGATTCGGGCGTCACGTCTCACCTCTTCATGCTCTGCAAGCACTGCCACGTCTCAATATGCTTGTACGTTATCCGGCTCGTATAAAGGCTTGGGCTTGGCCGGAGAGTTCCAGGGTGGTACTTCATCTATGAGCCTTAGATCATGCAGCATCTTATAAAAAAGTACCTTTAGAGCTGAGTCATGTCCGGAGAAGTATTTGCTCTCTGCCAGTGCACCGCACTCAGAAAAGATGCGAGCCACACTTTCTGGGGCCTTGCTACACAACCTGCACTACGCCTGGCCCTCCGAACTTGTATGGCTCTTCTGACTGGCATATAACAGAGTTGGTAATAGTTGCTCGCACATTTCACAAAATGCCAGCAATTGTGTGTGCTGGACAGGACTTCCAATCTGTCAGCCACCAAAAGCATCCACTAGCGCTCAACTTCTCATCCGGTAACCTAGTTGTAACTAGACTTCCCTGCCTTCGATGATTTCTCACTTCGTCCTCTAGTATCTCCTATTGTTACTTTCGCAGTTCCATCTTGACTGAGAATGGGTGCTCGAGATTAATCAAGCTCCAGATACCAAGCTCCTCCTCGAACCTAAACACCTAAACGCTGCTTTAACAATGGACCTCCCTCTTATTTCCTATGCTCGCTCTTCAAACTCCCGCGCCATTTTTATGGCCGGATCTTCATTACAGTAGAGTCTAACCACACCCTTAATATTCGTGGCTTTATATTCCCTCTCTACCGAACGCAGACCTCTGCGTCACTTCTTTCGCTGTATGCATAATGTCGCTTTCGGGCCACAGGGGTGCCTCCTCTGTTGCCAATAAAAATCTTCCATACTTTCCTGTTGATCTCCTGTATTTCCGATATCGGCCACTGTTGCTTTCACATAAGATAACGAAGCGCCGGCAAGGCAAACTGGTTTGACGAGGTCACACGTTTGTACTCAGACAAATGACAGACATCCGTCGGAAGTAGTCCTTGACTGCACACTCCAAGACCAGTTTATCATCCCGTATTACACTTTCAAGAACGCCTATAACTTGTACTTCTTCTCGTCCTCAAGGCTTGGTATTCTGGCGGTTTAATTCAATATAATCCCCGAGTTATCACTCACGTGCACTCCTCTACTCACATGAACCACTGCTTGGGGTTCCACTCGAGCCCCACGTCTTCCACAGTCGTCTTGACTATTTTCGTAACCAGGTTGAGTTAACTCACAGATGCAGCGAAAATCTTGAGGTCATCAATATATATAGGAGGTCAGTTACTTTAAGTCTCCTCCTTTTCTTCGCCTGTGGTCTTCCACACATTCCCTCTTTAATACATTTTCACGTTTTACTGTTGTCATCAGTGGTACCGTGCTGTTTTGAATTTAATAGGCCAACCCCATCTCTTCATCGCGAACACACTCCTCCAGGCCAGTCAATGCACGTCCCCCAAGAAGTGCTACTACCGCAACCACCACCACCACTGCCACTAGCACTATCATTAATACTACCACAACTACCACCACCACCACTTCTTCTTCTTCAGTCGTCTTCTTCTTCTTCGTCTTCTTTTTCTGTCCCTTTGTGTACTACAGTTTTGTAATATCTGACAAATTGTGCTTCAGCTGCTTGTATTATTATTAGTATTATTGTTGTTGTTGTTGCTGGTATTGTTATTATTATTGTCATTATTTTTATCATTTTCATTATCATTGTCATTATTATCATTATTATTGTTATTATTATCATCATTATCATTATTATTGTTATTATTGATAACAATGCTAAGTATTAAAACCCTATTTACAATTAATTCACGTAAAAAATATTCGGTCAAAACACTATTTACAATTCCTTTCGTTTAAAAAGCACTTAGTTTTGATTAGAAAAAATTTATAGAATTAAAAATTATTTTTATTATTAGTAGTAGTACCTTTTTTGTTGTCTTTAATTCGCTTATTTTATTTCAGCTCAGTTTGCGGTCACTAGCCCAGAAGGCTTTTTTGCAGGTGGATAGACGCACCGGTTTGAATCTTCTCCAGGCTGCCGTATTTGAAGGAATGTATGAAACCGTTTGTAATGCACATGCCTTTGTCCAAGATTTTGTTAAAGAAATGGATTCTGAAATAGTTGAAAGTGATTTATTTCCTGGAATGACTGCTGTTGAAATTCTAAATAGTCTGGATATAAAAGCAAAAAGTTATATTAAAACCGGCGGCCTTTATAGGGATCAAGCAGAAATAGTTAAAACCTTTACAGAATTGCATTGGTCTGCTGAAAGGGATGATCCAGAGATGGTCGTGGAGCTTTGTCTAAATGATGGTGTAGACGTCAATATTACGGCAAAAAACAACCTTACATCTTTGAGGTGGGTATGTGTCCGTGGCTCGGGCATATTAATCGAGACACTTATTGATCTTGGAGCAGAAAAAAATGTCCAACATTCCGAAATAAAGTCATCACCTCTGTTGCTTGCGGCCTCATGGAACAACTACATGGCCGTTCGCACACTGTTAGATCATGGGGCTGATGCAAATATTCAAGACATAAATGATGTAACACCATTACATGGATCTGTGTCTCGTGGGTTTTGCAAGATTTCGCAACTTCTTGTTGAGAAGGGAAGCAACGTCAACTTAAGAACCAAGGAGAGCAGAACACCCCTTTATATTGCAGTTAAACGCAATGATTTACACTTAATAAGACTATTGCTTGAAAACGGAGCTGATCTAGGAATGGAATACAAAGAGGATCCGGAAGAGAGAGTCTACCTTGTTCGTGGAAAAGACAAAGGGAAACCGGCCTGGCACTATGTTCTGGTTGATAAACATCTACTGGGATTGTTTCTGAAGAAAACGAACGGAGGTAATGTTGACGTTGCAGACTTTGGAGCTGTTCTTCGTAGTGGATGGGGAAAGGATCCTCCAGACGGTACCATTGACCAGGTACTAAAAGAGAAGAGTTCTATGTTTACAAAAATACGAGGTGAAACTCTCCTTCATGTCGCAAGTAAAAATAACAGCACCGAAGCAATCGATCTCATGGTAAAGAATGGGTTGTGGGATTGTAATCCCCGCGATGAATTGGGATTTACTCCATTGCACATTGCAGCGATCCACGGTAACATGCAAGCTGTAGAAAAGCTTGTTGACCTTGGAGCTGATGCTAGTCAAGCTGAGGCTGTAGCGGACTTAGCTCACGTGAACGAGGAATATGGCATTGAATCTTTTCTCAAGTCCAAGATTGTTTCTTTGCCAGAAAGAAAGAAAAGAGAGCAGGTCGAGGAAACAGATGAAGTCGAGTTAGCTGTTAGGCTACGAAATGTTTTTAGAGAAGCCGGCAGTATAAGTCGTGAAGTGGCTCAACTTGTTGTGGAAAGCATAAGCAGAGCTGTTAATAGATAATTCGTAAAGTACTAGAAATACGTAAATTGCAGGACCTCGCGAAGGACTTCGGGGGAACGGCAAGATAAGGCAATAGAGAAGAACATTTATAAATCTAAAAAATTTAGGCTATATAAAGAAACAAAACAAAACTGCAATAACTGGAAAGAAAACTGAACGAAAAGAAAAAGAAAAAAAAAAAAGGACACGAAACGAAGACAAAAAGGTTCCTTCGACTCGTCGGGCTATATCGTTACCACTAGGCTACGTGAAACTGGGAATCCGTCGAAAATATATTATTAAAACCTTTTGTGCTAGAACGTCCGCCAACGCTTCCTGTATAAAGTTGAACGAGCCCTATTGAACATGAATTCATGATCAAAGATATTTTTCAGAAGATGACTGCTGTTTGGACAGTGAAAACCCAACGTAAACACATGTCATCGCATTTAAAGCACGGAAGCCGAACTAAGCCGATACGATATAAACTCGTCTGCGAGCAAAACGTGTTTTATTACCCCGATTTTCACTCATATCTTAAGGCTAATCATCCAAAATCGCTTCCATTTGCTCTTAAAAGTACTTTAACATTCGAAATTCCTTGAGTGATGTTCTCTCTGCTCCCCTGTTTGTTGCTGCCGTCTCCTTCTTCGTTGCTCGCGTTGAATCTCACTCCAGAGGATTTTTTGGTGTCAAATCTTCCCCTGCGAGTATTTACAGCCGGTTGTTGAATTCGGCGTTCTTGTGTTTGCTGTTCTGTTCCATTTGCATCAGAAATCGCTTGAGATTCACCGGTAGTAAACATTGTTTCGCAGACGACGAATAAACAAGTCAGCTCTTCATGAACACTATAATTTGGTCATTGATGGGAAATCGCTTTCAGTCGAATGTTGCCTAGAAACAAAAAATTCCCCGTGACGTCAAACTACTGTATGACTTCATGGTGGACACCATCGGATATGTACAATTATAAAATAACTGAGATAGTACGCGTGATCTGATTGGTCAAAAACCTATGGTTTATTATACCGGTAAACCCATAGAAAAAGGCATCCGGACCACGAGCCATAAACAAAACCGGGTATTGATCTACAAACAACGATTTTAGAAAGGCTGAAAAACAGAACAAGTTACTTATCCAGCCCTTCTTAATATTAAAAGCGTTGGTTTCCACATTTTATTACTGAACGTCACAATTCGCTACTGCCATAGCTTTAGAAGTTATAAAGTACAACGCTGGAAAACATTTTACATTTCACGGCGATACCAAATCGCAGAGAAAGACAACAACTGTGTGAATTTCTAGTGTAGAAAGTCTCTAGGAAAACTTAACTATTTGCCAACCAGCAACAAAACGGATAGTTTTAGCATTCTTGATTTATTTTATGTCAAAATTAAATTCCTTAATGATAGAAATTGTTCCAAAAAGAGATCTCTGATCAAGATTTGGTACAAAATCGCGCGCTGTAGGTTGTAAACAAGCTGCCAACGATGATGAAAGATGTCAGAGTTTCGGGCTGGTTTTTTTCCAACATTTGCTCAAAGTATTCGGTGATATCAATGTCATAACCTACCTCAAACCACCTGACTTCACGAATTGACAAATACTAACGCCAATATGTGGCTACGGCAAAGAAACCTTTCTCCACCACTGACATATTTCTATCGGTCGCTGTACGTGCATATAAAGTTACATGCGACAACTTCGCAAATGCAGCCACGTCGTTACCGCAGCATTTCTTGATCATAATAAAGTCCAGAAAACAGATCTTAAACCACTGCGGCTTGTAAAAAGTGAATGAAGTCCTCCATTACAATAGCTGCCAGTTCCGTCTGTAAGCACGAAATTCTTACGGTCGACTCAACAAAATACAGCTGTGTACAGTCTGATGTTCAATTAATTTAATTTCTACTTCTGTAGTAAACAAACCATGAATGTATTCTTTCATTGTACGTTCGCATGAATATGTGTTGACTTTTCCTGTAAAACAACTTTCATAAGTTATCAGGTAATGAGTGCAAAAACTCGTGTTTTGCAGTGCTGCTGTTTGTTGTTTGACTGAACTGAGTTTTGAGAAAGTTCAACGCTATTAAATCGTGAGTCATGATTGGCTTATGATGACTTTAGGGAGAAGACGCGACTTGATCACGGTACTAGAACCATATTTTTTAACCTAAAAGACTTCATTCTACTAAAAGTTATTTTATAAAAGCAATATACAACACTTTCTATGGGTTTACCGGCGTGATAACCCACTTGGGATGTTGGGAGAACACTCGGAAAGCTTGTAAATCACTCGCCTTCGGCTCGTGATTTACAAGCTTTTCTCATGTTCTCCCAACATCCCGCGTGGGTTATCTTGCCGGTAAACCCATAGAAAGAGTGGTATATTGCTTAAATAAAGATGAGCGCTGCGAGTTTGCAGTTCGCTAGGATTCACGCGCGGTCTGCGCACAGCGAGATTACAAACTCACTTCGCTAAGCGCTTCGCGAGGAAAAATACAGATTACCATTACACCAATTTTGCAAATATATTTCGTGATTCCGTCCGTATGTTTAGTCATAGGTCACCGACGACGTCAAGGTAAGAACAGAAGAAGTGGCACGCGAGCCGTAGAGAAAGTGAGTCACTGATGATCTTACCATAATGTAACGTCTTCTGTAACCTATTACATACTCAGGGCAACATGAAACATGAAATCTGTCCTTTTAATAGAATGAACAGAAGAGAAATACACGAAAAACACGTCTCGTACCACTTGACTCTTCGAGGGTTTGCGCCAGTTACGTTTATGGCATTTACAAGGTCACTATCGTTACATTTCGTCCTCGTCTTATTCTTCTCACCGCAAAATTTTTCCGAAAATCGCACGAGTGAGCCTGTTCGCAGTCCACGCTTGTCTCAAGGTCTATAGAGTTGTGTTCTTGTAAGACGTCGGGTTTTAAGATGACGGACTACGGGTGACCAAGCAGTCTAAAAAGGTGCTTTACCTCGATCTCCTTCATATTAAAATTTAATCTGTATGTCTGAATTCTACCGTATAAGACACTGGTGAAAGTTGGAGTTGTGCACAGCGTACGTGTCGTCGACGTAGCGCAACCAAAGAAGCGAAGCTTGCATATTAGTAGCTTAGGTGGGGTTGTTCCTCGATGTTTTGTATAACAATGTTGGCTACAACAACAGCAACAAAAAACAACAACAAAAACAAGCAAGCAAAGAAAATGACGGAGAGCCCATTGCTGTTCCGTATAGAACTGTTATCAGTGTTTGCCGCTTTACCGAAAATACGTCGAAGTTAGGCAAACGTTGAGTAGGACCATAGTGTCGTCTGTAGGTAGTGGTAATTCAAAAGTATAGTTTTTAATTGCGTTCTCAGAGCAATCTAAGACCAGTTTAAATGGAATACTGATGAACAGTGATTGATTATACATCAAAAGACATAAGCTGGCTCGTCGGGTATCTGTCTTGTCGTGATGGCTTCAATAGAGATCTCAGTAGGTTTTAGTTCGTTTCTAGATTCGTGAGTCAAAGGTTTAAGTACGTTTATTATGCATTTAGACAGTAGTTAAGTCAGGAACCCACAGAATGAAGCCATGGGTCGCATTTTTTTGTTTTAGTAAATGGAACCTGAAGCTAAGCAGAACTGCAAATAATTTCGCATTCCTGTGGGTGTTATTTAATCATGCTGGACACATTTCACGACATACACATGCAGATGCAACCTTAATAATTACAGGGTATTTCAAAAGTTCGTTCCGATTTTTTCTCCACTTAAATTTCACTGATTATTAAAGATAACTTTTGTAAACCTAAGCATGTTATTCACTATTCATTTAACATTGACTAACTGAAATATTAGCAACCACAATGTCTTTCTTTATGATTTCTGACATTTTCTGAGCGTTGAGGTATAGAATGTAAGGGCTCCCATAGCGTGTCTAAATTCACAATTTTCCAGGTGAAGCGTGGTCGCTGTCTTAGCTAGGCCAGTGTTTTGGGGGCTGGATCTTTGTATGTTGTCTCATCAACGATAATCCAGATGGTTACTAGAGGGTTCGCATCTCGTGAGTTTGCCGCCGGTCGTCCTTTGGTATAAAGTTTGCAAATTCTTCTGATGCCATGCATGCATGAAGTGTGCACCGCCTTTTTTCTCTTCAAGGCTTTCCAACCTTTGTTGGTCACATATCTCCATATCGTTGTGCTCGAAACTTTGTTATTGTGAAGTTGAAGTTTTCTTCTTACCTTGCAGTCTTGTTTAATTATTACGCATATACTTACAGCTTTTTCGATAACATTTTTCACAGAGTTTGTAAAAAAACGGCCATCTACTCCTCGGTTTGTCTTGTAAGGCCTTTACTTTTGACCACTTGTTCTCTCATCGTTCAGACTTCTTCAACAATTTGACAATTTCTTTAACTAAATGGACAGAGTACCGTAAAAATAGATGCCTGAACTCTATTTTCGTGAAAGAGTAGAGAAAACAAAAGAAAACGCCAAAAAAACGAAAATAGAAAACCTACAAAATGGGCAGGAAAAATATGGTGGGAAAAAATTCGCGTGCGTGCTCATTTGTGAGAAAAATTTAAAAAATATCATAATTCCTTCAAATTTTCGTTTGAAATTGCTTTGAACGGTAATTTAGATAAATTTCCTACCTGAATCAGTTCACATTTGCCTAAGGAAGCATTAAATGCTTTGCGCAATTAAAATACAATTTACAATCGGAATTTTGAAACACCCAGTATATTTATAGCCGAGTTCTCGGGCGCGCGAAGCGCGCCAGCGGAGCACCATGGGTAAGAAAATTTGGTAAACTATGCATCGGAGAAAATTTGGTCATGACGTAGCGTACGCCCACCC